TGAAGCCTAGGAGATGGGTGTGGTAGCTGGCACAGCGGGTTCACTCTCAAGTTAAACATGTCGGCCCGAGTGTGGTGAGTCGTGTTGAGATGCTCTTGAGAACGCGGTGGGCATCCACCTTCCCCGATGACCCAGTGTCGGGGTCCCCTTCCTCTTCCATCAGCACTGCTTTTCAAGTCTTCTGGGTTCCTTCTTAACTGCATCCCTCAGGTGCTACCAGACCCTGCAAATCTTCTGGTGGAGCTTCCCAGCCCCTTTGTGATGTAGCCCTAGATCATGTCTTTCGGGAATCCTTTCTCCCCTCCACTCTTTGTCTCGATTTTACATTCAGCAGAGGATCGCGCTCTTGGTGACTGGTCCCTTATTTCCCCTGCTGTGTGGATTAACCACGATGTCTGCAGTCTAGTTGACTTACACTTGCCCTGTGGATGGAGACAGTTCAATGAAGAACTGCGGGCAAGACTGGCTTTGAGACATGCCTGACCTAATCACCACGCCCCGCCTCTCCCATCATTACCCATTTCTTGAAAGTAGAATGGGGTAGATCTGTATTCCAGTCAAGTGTTACCTTCTTAGGAGCCTGTTTGCTTTCCTCAGAAGCAGAGAAGAAAGCAGCAAGCAGGGCCAGGGAAGGAATCCTCTGTCCAACACATCAAGTCCTAGCCGTGCCTCTTTTTGTTGTTTTTCCTGCTTTATTCACTTTGTCCAGATGAGTCCGGAGTTCAAATCAGGAAATTCCCCAAGACAAGTAGAGGTGATTTTTCCTGCTGTTTAAGATGAGATTTTCCTAAGCTTCCCATCTGTATTGTGGGGTGCCCATGTGTCTGTTCTTCACTAAGCTTTGTCAGGAAGAAAGCTCTGGGGTTCCTATTTGATACAACCAGTTGTGTTCCTGGCACTTCTTGTCAACTCCGCACTTCTGAGGATGCGGAGCATGACTGACCAGAGTCTTGTAGAGAAAACGGTACCTGGAGTTGAATTCTGAAAACTTTTTATATTTTTTTAAAGTAATGCAATTTATTTAACAGGGACAGTTCTTTAGTAGAACCAAAAAAAATGAATTAGATTAGATGGCTGATGAACTTGTTTTTTTGGTAAGGCTGTTTCACCATTTTCCCTTCAAGATCCTCACATCTGTGCTCCTATATCCCAAAACTAAAGGAATGGTTTATGGGACCCTTCCTCTGGTGGCATGCCAGCCCCCGTTGGAGGACTCTAAGGCTTAAGGATGCAAGGGGGGTGTTGCAGGACTTGTCAAAGTGCTTTTCCTGCGAGGAGATTTGGGATCATGAAGTGCTCAAACAGTAGGCCAACACAGGATGGGAATGTTTAGACTGAGTGAGCTTCCTTACTACAGTTCTGCTGCATCATGGACTTGAGGGCAGTGAGTCCAAAAATGAAGTCACTTGATTCAAAATACCATACCCACAAGTCCGATTACCTCTGGTGAGAACCCTCCCTCAAAGACTAGATATTTAATAAACTTTTTTTTTTTTTTTTTTTTTTTGGTGTTGGAAAGGTTTGCTGGGCAAATACTTCCAAGTATCTCAGGAACTTGTGAGACTCAGAAGGACTATTGCTGTTTTTCACGGGAAGAACGTGCACTCAGCCAACTTGGGCTCCAGTGCCTGTGGCGAAGTTTGTCTTGGCCCAGACTCTTCAGGCCTGTTTATAGCCCCTGCCAGGCATGGATTTGGGAAGAGCTTAATGGGAGAGCAGACCATTTGGGGACCTATTTGTGCTAATATGATTCATGAAACAATGTCTGATCTTTTTTTTTTTTTTCCTAGTAACAAAATGAGGCAAAGGGATCTTACTTTGTAGGAAGAAACATAGACCAGACCAAAAACTGGTATAAATTAGAAAATATAAAGTACTTAGACTTATAGTAACAGAGTCAGCAAGCTTGAGATAAAATGTTGTGTTCCATTGGGAGGACTTTTTTGTGCAAGAGGTCTTCAGAGGAACTTTAAAAGACTGCATATATTTTATTTTTGAAATGACATATCTTTGTTGGAACAAGTCAGACTGCTGTGGCTTTGGAATGAAGCTACTGTGTCTGATGACAGGAAAAAATGGGTGAGATTGCCGGGTTACAGAAAAAAGATGTGTTCACTCTAAACGAATGCTTTCCTTTTTTTAGAGGACTTGCTCTTTTCCTACATGCTCAGCAGTGAGAGGACAGCGTGAAATGCTGGGTGCCGTTAGTGGAGGTGGAGGATGGGATGCTGTGGGGTTACTGGAAGTCCCCTGGCTCTGCTTCCTGGCTGCTGTGCGGTCCCCCCTGTTGTTTGGTGGTAGTGTGTCATTTTTCTTCTGTTTTTAAGGCTACTTGGTAGCTCCATGGTAGAGATTTCATTCTAAGGCCCTCCCAAAGTTGTGTATCATTCAAAGTTGTTCCATTTGAGAAAAAATGCTGAGAAGTGTCCTCATCTCCAGTCACCAAGATAAAAACATCATGAGAAACCTAAGTACTGAGACAGAAACTTCTAAACCAAGTGAGGAATTGGGCCATTGATGGTAAGGCAATAGCGGACCATAGTTAACATTTTTCCCACCATCAAAGAAAGGTTAAATATTTTCCATAACACGGAATGTGTACAAGGCTCCCACCCTTTGTGCAGGCTTAGATATGCACTTACTTGTCTCAGGCTATTTGTGGTGAATACGAGTATTTTTAAATGCTCTGGTAGCCTTGGAAAAACTTCAGGGCTTTAAAGTTGTTGACAAAATATTTCTTGAATAAATAAATCTGATTTAGAAATATCTAAACATGAACAAAGTACTTTTAAGTCTAACATGTCACTGCAAGTGGCTTTTTAAAGTAACTGCTTGGAACGAGTAACAGGACTAAGGGATTTGTAGCTCTAAGTTTTTCTAGTTCTATTAAGAAGCACTCCTAAAAGCACCTTAGAAAGGGTAGCTCAAAGGGCTTGCTTTCTTATTTTAGGTCTCAGCAGAGCTCTATGCTTATAGTCGGTGAAAATTTAAGGTCTAACAGAATACTAAACTTTCTTGGCTTTAATTTTTCTAAATATACTGACCATCTTTGTAGAGATGACTGGCGTTAAGTGCTCTTACAAGGGGAGCCCAGCAGGGCTGTGGCCACCTGCTGGGTATGGCAGGGTCCCTGTCAACCCTGTACCTGCCTAAGATTGAGAGTTGAGACTAGCACCCCAGAAGGGGTGTCTGGTGCTTTTCAAATGCCCAGGGAAGAGATTTTGAAGAGTTGGGAAATCCATGTTCTCATAGTCTAACATGCCTCAGTTGGAAACAGAGACATTTAGTTCAGCTTCCGTAACTGTTGGCAACAGAGAAACTCCCTTTCATATTTTCGTAAACCTGACTACCACTGCCCTGAGTGCCTGCCCCGGACCACCTAATTCCCTAGCGCGCTCTTCTAACAGGAAAAATACGCAGAGAAGCAACACCCTGCTCTGATTCTTAGATGCTTATGGAATCCTAGCTCTTGAAAATAGATTTAGGTAGTCCTGAAGAAAACTCTGACCAGCAGCAGAATTCTTCCAATTTTGTGCTTTTTACTCCTCGATCTTTGGACCCACTGTCAGACATGTGGCTAAAAAGAAACTCTTAAAAGGTAAGATCTTGTGTGGATAACACAATACGAAAGTGTGGTAAATTAAAAGTGAAGTGCTCATGATGGTCCTTGCTCTAAAAGGGAAAATACGTAAATGGACTATGAGAAGTTAGGCCCTGAGCAACATCTCCATCTTGAACAGCTGGGGCAACCACAAACATAATTTCTAAAATGGGGACAGTATTTAAGTGCTAGTTGTAATAGCATTTGTAACCTGATTACTCTTATTTTTAGGATTTATTTGAGGGCGCACAATGCAAGTGCAGGGGAGGGGCAGAAGGAGAGAATCTCAAGCGGACTCCCCACTCCCCACGCCCCCCACTGCACCAAGCGTGCAGCCCAGTATCAGGATCTGAGCTGAACTCAAGAGGTGGCCATTCAACCAACTGAGCCGCCCAGGTGACCCAGTAACCAAATTTACTTTCAAAGTAGTACATATTCCTAAGGGCTAGTAGTTAGAATGTTTCTTGACATAACTTAATGTAAAGCCCATATACTGAAAGTGATAAGGTAATACAGTCTTCGCTATGTTACTGAACTGTGTTCCCTTCCCATAAAATCATTTTTAAAAAGCCTTACCTCACAGTCCTATACCAAAAAACTTCCCACAGAAAAGCTGAGACCTCTTTAGGTACTGTAACCATTACGAGGCATGCCAGACTATTTCCTTTACGAGAATGTCAAACCTGATGTCACTAGCCAAACCTAAACCCGTCTGAAGACCAACAGTTACTACAGTTCTGCTACAGGAAGGGGTCAAAGTCAGTATTAGAAATATTATACTTTATTGAATTCTAGAGCAGCTAATCTACCCTCTGTGTTCACCAGTAAGAACGGAAGGAAGATCCGAAGGTCACGGACAAGTCTACACTACTGCTGGAATGGCTGCAGGCCACTCTGCACCTGTGGGGCTAATACCCTAATGTGCACAGTAATGATCCATTCTGGTTCAAAACAAGAAGTGCTTTCTCCTGGGATTCGGAATTTACTCACACGGATTGTGCCCTGTGCTCTAGTAAGGTTCTGACCTTACAGAGCCCTCTTCCCATCCTCTCAGGCTAGACTTTGAGCTCAGCAGTCCACCCTTGAGGACAGCAGGAGCCACCCTGGCCCAAACTAAGGAATTCACTCATAACAGAAGGAGGTTCCTCCTTTTCTTTTCACAGGGCTTGCTCCTTTGCCCTCTTGCAGCTAAATTCTTTCTATAGATTGATCCCAGATGAGAAAAAGACAGTTTCTGATAATAAGCATTTCTGCTATCAAAAAAAAATGTAAGAGATGAAGGCTTGTACCTCAAAACAGAATCACTCGCTGCAGTGCCTTCCAGACCAGCCCTACAGCAAACCAAATACTTACACAAGGCCGCTAAAGCCCCCAGTCTCAACCCAGAGGCACAGAAGACTACATTTGATAATGGAAACAATATATTTCTCCACTGATATACAATACTATGTGATGCACTGAAAATTTCAGGATGGATGTTGGAGTAAGACAATTTGTAACACAACATCATTTTGGATCACCTCTTCCCATCACCCTTGCTCCACTCTGTGACTCTCCACCACCCCAGGTGTATCCAACGCACACTAAGGAAACAAGACAAGGAAACGGTGTCACAAGCCACAATGGAGCCATCCGCATGCAGTTCTGCCCGGCTTTACCCTCGCTTTCTTTCAATACAGACTCCATTACAATTTGAACCATCTGCAAAGAGTGCAAACAAAACTAAAAAGTATCTCTCTATGATTAGAATATTTTAAAGTCTTCAGAAACTTTCCAGATGTACCTTTGACAGAGCTCCCCCACCCACCGCTAGAACCCATCCTTTGCTCCTGTGAGTCCTGCCAGGCTTGTTTAATGGGTGCTCAGTTTTGGTTCTTATTCCTCCTTATTCTTCTTCCTCTTCCTCCTCCTCATCATCATCTTCATCATGGCAGTGTGTAATTTCCTGGGGGGCCAGTGGGAAGAGATTGGGGGGTTTAATCTCACTAATCGACCGTGTCAACTGGTGCCGCTTGTAGTCGGTATCTTTGAAATCAACCGATGTGCGGTTCCGAGTGGCAAGAGGGGACTCCATTTCATTGATGTCTACATGTGTGTGTTCCACCGTTGACTCATGAGGCATCTAGAACAAAGTCAGAGGTTCAGAAAGCCGGTGGAGTAAAACAGTTTCCTAAATCCTCACCCCTCCTCCTCCTGTGTGTTAGGTGGCTGTGCAGAGGCGTGTCTGCTGATCAAAGGCCCAGCCCATTCCGATACTGAACCATCTTCCTAGAACTACCTCAAGCTGCCTTCTTCTCCTCTTCCACCATTAAAACTGTCCAGATCATTATAGCCGGAAACAAGAAAAGATGGGGTAGAAGATTCATAATTCACAGCAAACAAAAGTCCTAAACTATAGATCAGTGTATGTGTGTGTGTGTGTGTATATATATATATATAGTATCACTAATAAGAGAAAGTTTTTATATAAATACTAATGAAAGAGGAACATCTTCCCTACTCAAACTTTTAATGCTGTACGTTGCAGAGTAGTTATATCCTGTAACATTTGATCTTGATCCTACTTTCTCAGAGATGCCTTTTGTGCAACCATGTAACCTATTCATGGGCTTTTGTGCAGTAGAAAAGACAGACCCAGGAACACCTGGGTGGCTCAGTCAGTTAAGCACCTGCCTTAGGCTCAGGTCATGATGCCAAGGTCCTGCTTCTCCCTCTGCCTGCCACGCCCCCTGCTTGTGCTCTGGCAAATAAAACCTGAAGACATAAAAAAAAAAAAAGACCCAAACTCTCCTGTGCCACCCCACAAACCTGGCTGCAGATCTTAGTCTTAAGAGTATATCTTAATTATAACTGGCCCAAGACTGTATTAACTCACCAAGACGTGGGCAGCTCTGAAGAGGTAGCTGAATGGATAATACAGCAGGTTGATGAAAGACGCTGCATAGAGATCAGCATATCGCATCACCTGACTGGCAAAGAGGGTCTGTCGGGAGCCACTGCGGAACAGGCTTCCCATCATCCCATAGCACATGTCCATGTCATGAGTTACTTTCTAAAAGAGAGAAAGGATTGAATTTAAATACTTACTGAGTGCCAGCTATGTGCCAACCCCTATATAACAGAAGAACTATAAAAAAGAAAAACTTGATCTTCCAAGTTTTCTCCCGAATCCCATTTGGATACCTTAATACGTCTCTGGATGGAACTAATGTCTGGGCGCTCGTTGCTGCTGCTGTCAAGATGCCTGGAGATGAAAAGAAAACTCCATTAAAAATCTCTAGAAAAGATGGCTCTTACACCTAGGTAACTCCCAAAGAGGTAGAGAGGGTTTAGGGAAGAAATATTTGTCTTGAAAATGCAGAACTTACTTGTAGAGTTCAGCCAAGAAGATATCCAAGCTCTGAAGCTCTTCAAAAAGTGCTAAAGTTTGGAAGGAAAAGAAAAATGTTTTAAGTAAAAAAGCATTCAGTTTAAAACTGCTGCTAGAACTAAATTAAAAGGATGCAGATAGGATGGAAAAGAAAGCTACAGGTGAGTGTACAAAATGACTTCCTTCTTCTGCTTCAGGAAAACCCACTCCCGCCCTGTATGGGGTCTGGCAGCAGATGAAAGCCATGATTTCTTCTTTAACTGCCTTTCCTCCTTCAACACTGCTGGCTACAACTCTCCAAGTGAACGCAGACTCTGAGCTTACACGGTGCTAATTCACATGCCATCTCTGGTGTGTAGCCAACATCTGTTAGCCGTTCCATTTTCAGATCAAAGAATGAGGCGTAAATGAAGTGTCCAGAGTCACACGTCTAGCAAATAGAAACCACATCAACTAGGTCTACAGAATTTCCTAGGTGGGAGGTTGAAAATGGGGACGAAAATCTAGCCGGAGAATGCCACTAAGGACAAGCAATAGCCAGTATCTGCTGCATGCTTTCGAGGTGTTCCAGTCTTTCTCAACCTGGCTTCTCCAAAGAGAATTAAGCCCTAATGGATTTACTGTATATAACAAATTTTATCATTTTGGGGAGAAATGAAAATCATGCAAATCAATTTCTTGGTTCTGTGGCTCAGATGAGGAACCATGGCTGTTACTTGTATTTTCTTTATACACACATTACACCCCAGTTAAGTCTCAACGAAGTAGGTATTATCTTCATTTTCACATCTGAGGAAACTAAAGCACAGGGTGTTCCAGAAACTTCTAAGGGTGTGAAGATATTAAGTAGTAAAGCTGGGGTCAGTACCTGAGGCAGTACCTTTCCACATGCTGTGCGTGATGCTAGCTAGCAAGGACTAGCTGGAGAGCTTACATGTCAAACATCTTTACATAACTAGACCTATACCTCAATTCAGCATACAGTTCAGAGAATACAATTTGGCCTCATTCCCAGAAGAGCAGGGGAAAAAAAAAAAGACCTATTACCACTCAGAGCCATCAATGCCCCCAAATCACTGATACAGGCTTGTGACAGAGACTGGACCTAGAAGGTGTGGATGGAAAATATGGGACCACAGAGGAAAGTGGAATTCACAGTTTAGTTGCTACAGTAATATAACTCAGATAGCAACATTCTATGCTTAACTAGGAAGGAATTCAAGAAGGCGGAACAAGATAACCTCCCCTATTTCCTCAAATTCTGGAGTTCTATACCACACCTGGCTAGAGGGAAGTATTCAAGTATCTTGGGACTAGCTCTGCCTCTTTCTCCCCACATAAAAAGTAATGAGTTCATTAAAGAGGCCTGATACACAGCTGGTCCTTAGGATATAAAAGTAAGAGTAATGGCTCCTTACCACTCTTATCAGTCCAGACATGGAGCTCCTGTGCAAGTTCAGGAATCACCAAGAAAGTTCGCCACCCTTGCCGTTTCTTTGATTTTAAAATGTCTCCAAAAATGTGATCTCCAATATATAAAATGTCTTTGCCCTTGGCTCCCAACAGATCGCAGACTGTATCCGATGAACCTGAAATGATGGAATGAACAATGGGAAAACAAAAATGTCTCCACATTAAAAACCAGCATTTTAGGTACCATAACCATTAAATACTGTACAAATTTTATTCTTATGCAAGGAACAGACTAGAAAAAGGGCTCACTTTTCGTAAAGACCTACCACTATTTTTCTTTCATCATTCCTTTTATTGCCTCTAAGGCAAGGCCTTCAGTTCCACTGTGTGAACCAGGCCTCTCAGTTACCAAATCCAAGAGCAACAATACTACATCTCAGTTTTAGTGACTATAACCCTCCAAAAGTACCACCGCCATTTTCTCATCACAGATCTGACAATGTGGCTTTGTTCAACTATTTCTCACTGCAACAAAATCTGCATATCTGTGTCCATAAGGGCTCCCTGAGGATACCTTTGAGAACTGCCTCAAATAGGGAAAAGGATGAAGAAAAATTGATCTTTTTAGGAAAATCGAAGACTCATTAAGTTGGGGCGCCTGGGTGGCTCAGTTGGTTAAGTGTCTGCCTTTGGTTCAGGTCATGATCTCAGGGCTCTGAGATCAAGCCCTGCATCAGGCTCCCTGCTCAGCTGGGAGTCTGCTGCTCCCTCAGCCCCTGCTCATGCGCGCACACGCTCTTTCTCAAATAAATCTTAAAACCAAACAAAAAAACGCACAAAACTCATTAGGTCATACTAACAGCTTCTCAAACCCATTCTCCCTGACTCCTTTTGCGTGAGTAGGTGACCGAAGCATTTACCTCCAGCAGACAATATCTTAAGGATGCTAAAGAGTATGGGTCGCACTATGCCAGGAGGACACCAAAGCTTCCACAAAGGAGTCTGAACAAAGACTTAAACTAAATAAAGGGAAATCTGTGACTCACCTCCTGAGTAGACGATGCCATGCTGTAACGGGCCTGTGTAGGTACCAATTTTCAGCTTGCCAGTCTTCTGTGAGGAGAGAAGATGGGACTTTGTAATAATTTATTGTTCAGTCACAATTGCCACCCAAAATGTGATTTGGATAGGCAGCTAAATGAACAGCACTTTTGAATTATATTCTTTGGGGTTTATTTGGCTCTCTCAACTAAGATGTTTAAAACTTAGATTAAATTAAAAAAAAAAAGATATGGCTAATCAGTTAAACATACCTGTTTCCTTAGGAAGAGTAAGAGTAGGGAAAGGAGAAATATGAAGGAGAGGGGCTAGCAGACCGATCACCCCCTCGACTTACAGTATCCACCTGGCGTAGTACTGTGCCTTCTCCAAAAAAGAGTGGCTTCCGTGCATCTACCAAGATCAGGTCAAAGTAGGACTGCCATGGTCGATGAGAACTCCCAGGCTGATGAAGATGAGAAAGAGCAGAAGCCAAAACATCACTCCTAACCTTGAGGCACTAGTATTTAATCTCACTCAGATGTAAGGAATGTAGACATATTAAGTATACCCAGAAAATCCCACTCTTCTGTTAAAAACATTGTGTTCTATTATAAGCCACATTCTTTTGGAAGCAAGCAAGGTAAAAACATAAATTAACACATTTTAAATCATTTTATCTACTAATTTTTTCACAGCAACTTAACATATGAAGGAAAGTGCTCACACTCTGAAATGGGCTAACAGAGGCACAAAGGCGACAAGGACAGATGCAAATTAATACTCAAGAGAGATTAAGAAAGAAGCAGATCAGCATTAGAACCAAAATATACAAACTAACATGGAACTACTACTAGCAAATTTTACTGGTTATGTTCTCAGAATAATGGCTCATATTACAGGCTTATCACAGCACTAACCTAGAAGTTATGCCCATTAACATTATTTCCATCCTGAAACAGAACCATGCTATTAAACTTTTAAGGTCAAACTGAAGAGCAATGCATACTGTGCTTTTGGGCGATCTCAAAACAGATTTACTGATATTTACTCAGGCCTAGTAGTAAAATCCCTCAAGTATGTAACTAAGTTGCAATGAGTTTTCCTTAAATCTAAGTGTAGTCCTACTGCAGGAAAAAAGAGTTCTCTGCTAAATATCAAAGCTAACTGTTCTCTTGGCACAGAACTCAGCAATAAGACAGACCAGTATCCAGAAGCTGTCAAGAATATATATATTTTCTGTTTCTTTTAATCAGATATCTTCCTCAACCTGAAAATTCCTATCTTTGCCACACAAACTTAACAATGCTACATAATGTTATTCTGATCCCATCCCACTAAATAACACAAATATCTCTCCCTTTTATTTCTGTCTACCTGGTTTTCAAAACTCTAGCAATGTTATACTATACTAGCTCCTGCATTATTTCTAACGTTAATCAAGATTTCTAGATGAGTTCTGACAATTCCCTTACTCTCAATATTCCAAGATGACTAAATGTATTATTACTATAAGCAATGGTCTATTAAGTTATATATAGTACCTTGGGGCCATGTGGGAAATCAAACAGGTAAGTCATAATTTTCTGGAAAAAAGAAATTCAACATAAGGTCCATATACTACTTTTGCAAAAGATAAAAAGCACCTTAAAAAAAAAAAATCAAACCCAAGTTTTTCATGTGCCATGTCTTTTTCAATAAAGGACTCATCACATTCTTGTTTCCTCTAAGTTTATGAAACCGTAACAGCTGAAGCCAGAAATTACTGCTTCATCAAACAAAACGGACATTGTCGGTAAGACGTAGGCTTCTTCTGGGATGTATTTTTGTATACTTCGTCCACACACCCTTACCCAGTTCTCCTGGAGGGCTGGGACATACATTTGGAATGGTATCTGAGGTAAGGGCACTGAGAAAACTACTGACTCATATGGGAATAATATACCTTGGCCTCCTCACTATTGTTCCTAGATTAACCAAACCAATGAGCCATTGGATTTGTTGGCTTTGTAAGACTGCTTACTCCAGATCACATTTCTAAATCAAGATTTTATATAAAGTGAATCGGGTGGCACGGAGCTGTCTGCTAGTACTATAAACTTGTAACTGTCTTAGCAAAAATGAGGGCAAGGAGTTAAAGCAGCTTTTCTACACGCTTTAATCATGGTAAAAAAAAAAAAAATTTTAAGTTATATGGTAGTAAATTTTGATGGCTAAGAGTCAAAACATCTTTGCACCATCTACTGCTGTCTGGCTCCCAACAGCAGGGAGGGCATTTACACATGTACAATAAATAAATGTGTGACTTCTCAAATATAAATGCTGTACCACGGAGACACAGAAGCCATTTTAATCAGCACAAATGTTTTAAATAACCTCCAAATTAAAACTTTAAGTTAGCCAACTGTAATCAGGGAAAATAGTCAAATGAAACATTGAGAAAAATCGGAGAACCACTCTGATGTAGCCCTTATACTGTAGAAATTTTTTCACTCTGCTCTCAAAATGAAATGGCAAAAAACTACCCTCACTTAACAAACTACTGTCCTCAGTATCTTTAGGCCAAAATAATTCTTCTGTAAAGACAAATAGGAATATTAAGCACTTACATCTGTATACTTATAGTCACTGTTGGTGGCAAGAAACACTTTCCCTACTTCCTTCATTCGGCTCAGAAGCAAAGGCAGTTTTCCCTGCAATGTAATATGATTATGAGTGAAACACTAAAACACAAATACATACTCATTTACACTTGGACTTTTGTCCACTGGAATAAGAAAAGAGGATGCCCTTCAAGGGTTGGTTGGTTTCAGAATTTTATATTTAAAAGACCACATTAGGGGCACCTGGGTGGCTCAGTGGGTTAAGCCTCTGCCTTCAGCTCAGGTCATGATCTCAGGATCCTGGGATCGAGTCCTGAATCGGGCTCTCTGCTCAGCAAGGAGCCTGCTTCCCCCTCTCTCTCTGCCTGCCTCTCTGCCTACTTGTGATCTCTCTCTGTCAAATAAATAAATAAAATCTTAAAAGACCACATTATCACTATGCATGAATTAAGTATTAATATATATAGTATACATGGTATATATAATGTGTAGGTTTATTTATAAAATTATACAGATGATATGCTTATTAAAAACACCTTGGGGCACCTGGCTGGCTCAGTCAGTGGAGCACCCAACTCTTGCACTCAGGGATGTGAGTCTGAGTCCCCCACTGGGTGTAGAGATTACCAAAAAACAAACAAAAAATTTAAAAATTTCTTTAAAAATAACAAAACCATCTCTACCTTCCTCGTGTCTGCCTCAGGAAAGAGTTTAAATTACCTTGTAATCTCAAAGTACATGAATGAAGTATGTAAAGGGTGAGGAAAAGCTGATTTTAAATATTCATGTTAGAGAATGCATGCACAATCGCATGTACGAGCAGCAGAGGGAGAGGGACAAGCCGACTCCTCCAAGCTCCAACCCACGACCCTGAGATCATGACCTAAGCCAAAATCAAGAGTAAGCTGCTTAACCAACTGAGCCACCCAGGTGCCCCAGGAGGAGCGGATTTTAAACATCACCAGCAAAATATATGGAGAGTGTAAGCTATAGCTTCACCAAGTATACTTTTCTTTTATAAAACACCTTGCAGAATGAAATGCCATATGCAGGATGCAACCTAGAAATGCCCAGACCCATCTGCAGATACATGAGGAGATTCTAACTCCTGGCCTGACCAGAAAGAAAAGCATCTTTTCCATCTCTCACAGTAAATAGGTTCCTTCACTCAAATTCTCCTGGACCTCTCCTGAACCCCTCAATGTTCTCTCTTGAAACAAGAGAGTGCAAGTGGGAGTAGAGGGTAAATAGGTACAGACTGAAAACAATAAGAAATCTGTACCAAAGTACCTCGAAGAAATATTGCATTGTGTTACTCTGTGAGAAAAGGAAGAAGTATCTCATCTTGGAGCTATGTATGTTTCCTTTTTATTTTAAAATAATTCCCTGAGCCTGGGTGGCTCAGTCGGTTAAGCATCTGCCTTCGGCCCAGGTCGTGATCCCAGGGTGCTGGGATCGAGTCCCACACATCAGGCTCCTTGCTCAGCAGGGAGCCTGCTTCTCCACCTGCCTGCCACTCCCCCTGCTTATGCTCTCTGACAAATTAATATCTTTAAAACGATAAAATAAAAATAAGATAAAATAATTTCAGACATAGAGTGCCCGGGTGGCGGAGTAGGTTATGGGGCTGACTTTGGGTTTCGGCTCAGGTCATGCTCTCAGGGTTGTGGCATCGAGCCCCAGACAGGGCTCCATGATCAGAACAGAGTCTGCTCCGGACCCTCTTACCCTCCCCCTCTCCCATCTCCTCTGCTCCTCCCCCCAGCTTGTGGGCACAAACTCTCACTCACTACCACAAACAAACAAAATCTTCAAAAGTAATTCCAGACTTAAAGAAAAGTCAGCAAAAGACTACATTCAGCGTATTCTTCTTCTGGCTTCCCCTAATACTCAGATCTTACATAAACATAGCACAATGATCAAAACTAAGAAATTAACACTGGGACGATTCTATTAACTACAGATTTTAAAAATCTTTCAAGAAATCTTAAAGCTTTCCTCATTATTCCCTGCTGATTTAAATAATGGTCACATATATGTACATTTTTTAGGTTATCTAGTGCTCCGATTTTGATTTGGATCACATTCAGGTGTGACCTGTGGCCTTACCCCTTACTAATGGTATGAACTTGGGCAAGTTATATAACCTCTGTTACTCAGTTTCTTTAACTATACAGCAGAGGTAACAATACCGACTCTAAGGGTTCTATGGAAGATTAAATGGCATATAATCACTTAGTACAGTGATGCACACACAGTAACTACTCTAGCTGCTATTATCATTAGGGCTAAAAGGACAAATGAAATACTAGGTCTTCTTGCCTATGAACAAAGAGGAAAAACTGTATTAGGACCTATGTTCTGGCTGAAAATTCCTGGTGACTATACTTGACGCATATTATATCCAGACAAAGAAGTATCTTCCCTTGTCCATTTCATTATAATAGGCTTGTTATTCATTTCCATGATTTGCAAATCTCTTTTCCCCTTTATTACTTACATCTTTGACTACATACTTCTCAAGATTTTCAACTGTCTTTTCCTTAAGGGAGCCCTAGGGGAAGGAAAGAAAAAAAAAAAAACTCAGTTATTAACAGTTTATAAGAAAAATTATGTCTACTATCAACCCAAATGCATTTCTTAAGTATTTACCAACACGGAAAAGTAGATAAACTAGACAGGGCCATGATAAAGCAGCAGATGTGATTTGCTGGACTCTGCCTCCAACATGTATTTAAAATCTTAAAACTAATTTTTATTTTGAACTAGAAATCTAAAGGAATTTCATATTTTATTCAGTACAATTTTTTTTAAAAAGATTTTATTTATTTATTTGACAGAAATCACAGTAGGCAGAGAGGCAGAGAGAGAGGAAGGAAGCAGGCTCCCCGCTGAGCAGAGAGCCTGATGCGGGGCTCGATCCCAGAACCCTGGAATCATGACCTGAGCCGAAGGCAGAGGCTTTAACCCACTGAGCCACCCAGGCGCCCCTCAGTACAATTTATAGTAAATGTAATATTAGTATTACTAGTCAAGCAGGAGGTATCTGGGAAAAAAAGTCCTTAATCATCCTCAAAGAGTAGGGTTAAGTATAATCTTAACACTAAAATCTCTTCTAAGTTGGGGCGCCTGGGTGGCTCAGTGGGTTAAAGCCTCTGTCTTCGGCTCAGGTCATGATCGCAGGGTCCTAGGATCGAGCCCCACATCGGGCTCTCTGCTCGGCGGTTAGCCTGCTTCCCCCTCTCTCTGCCTGCCTCTCTGCATACTTGTGATCTCTGTCAAATAAATAAATAAAATCTTAAATTAAAAAAATAAAAATAAAAAAATAAAATCTCTTCTAAGTTTGGGAAATGGAAATGGAAATAAAAACTAGAAGACAGGACGCGTGGGTGGCTCAGTGGGTTAAAGCATCTGCCTTCGGCTCAGGTCATAATCCCCGGGTCCTGGGATCGAGTCCCGCATTGGGCTCTCTGCTCGGCAGGGAGCCTGCTTCCTCCTCTCTCTCTCTGCCTACTTGTGATCTCTCTCTGTCAAATAAATTAAAAAAAAAAATCGTTAAAAAAAAAAAAAACCTAGAAGACAAGAACAAAAATATTCTAGAGAGCTGTCACTAGGGGGCAAATCCAATTTTTTCTTTTTAATGGAGGAAAAATTCTGCTGTATTTGCACTTGAAAATGTAACATCAGACCATAAAACCCACACCACTGAGTGAACAGGTGAAACAGTAGCTCCTAGGTACCTTGTAATGAACCCAGTCGACAGCATCTCTTACATCCTGGAACATACTTCGGTAAGACATGAAGAGGTCCCCATCTTTAAATCCTGTTTCACAGCTATACAAAGATGAAAAGAACATGACAGGGATTCCAAAAGAGAGTAAATAAGATGAACATCAAACACTGCCCCGGGGACCCAAAGATTCCATTATCACATGGATAAAGGCTGCGGCTAATTAGGAAAATAATTACTCCCTAATGAAAATCCATTTTGACCACCAGAGAGAAGGATAGTATTCAATGGAATACAATCCATAATTGTGAACAAATATAATGTGATAGAATAATATACTGAAGTGGAAGCTAAAAGGTCAGTTCCAAAAATATCATGTTTTTTCATTCATCACTTTCAAGAAACAGGTTCCCATCAAAGAAACGTTTAAAACTTAAAATCGCGGGGCGCCTGGGTGGCTCAGTGGGTTAAAGCCTCTGCCTTCAGCTCGGGTCATGGTTCCAGGATCCTGGGATCGAGCCCCGCATCCGGCTCTCTGCTCAGCGGGGAGCCTGCTTCCCTTCCTCTCTCTCTGCTTGCCTCTCTGCCTACTTGTGATCTCTGTCTGTCAAATAAATAAATAAAATCTTCAAAAAAAAAGAAAAAACTGTTTAAATTAAAAAAAAAAACCTTAAAATCGGTAATTTAGGTTCTCTTCATCCTGACTTTTCTGATATTGTCTCTAGGTAAAGGTATGGCCTATTTTCTATTTAACTTTGTGACTTAGTGCTCCACTAGATTTACTGCCTTGAAGTAGACAAGGCCTGGACAGGATAAGAAGTTAGCAAACTCTGACACACATGGCTGAACTTTTAGCAGTAGTTATAGAATTCCCCTAAAAAAGGAGAGGAAAACTTGTTCCAGACTTAAACACAATTTTACTTCAGGGAGGATAAACCATATTCACTCCTCAATCAAATCTCACTGGGCCTAGAAATAAAACTAAATTACCACCCCTGAATGGCTCCTGGGCTGCTGCTGTGAAATGAGTTGGGGGTTTCAGTGTAATTCTGCTTGGACAGATAATCATCACACAAACCTCCCACTCAGTTGTCACAATTAGCACCTCTGCTGGCCGTCTTCATTCCCAGGAGAAGCCAATCAGAAGTGGTCCCTTCCAAACATGGCTGCAGCACACTGGCAAGGAGAGGGGCCGTGTGGGAGCTGAGAGCCTGCATGGAGCTGCTGCCGCTGTCCCATCTCTCGGGCTGGCAATGTGGCATCTCTCACTAGCACTAAATTCACTTCAGAAAAGCAGAAAAGACCTACAATGGCCAGTTCTCTAAAACCCTGTACATTAATTTCAAAAAATGAATTGGAAAAATAAAGTTATACCATATACATACCTGGTATATCTAGGACAATTAGTAAAAAAATCTACAAGGCAGGCCAACAGGTAGGTCTCTGAAAAATGAAGAATAGATATTCATAAGCTATAAGTGAGATAATTTGAAGTGATCTCATTGTCTCCCTTGGACAAAGACAAATGATCACGAAAAGAAGGGAAAGCATCCGTAATACACAGGCACAGGGAATGAGTCTACCTGGTAGATTGAAAAGTGTGTTCAGAATGTAAAATCTTTCAGTGTCATCTCGTTGGATAAATTTGTTTGGATACTGCTCTCTAGTTTCTGGTCTGAAAGAAAAAAACTTTAAATTAACTGACATTCAAGAAATGAACATTGTTAATAGCTATGAGAAATACGCAACATTCAAAACTTCATTCAGATATGTTGGCGGCTATATTCAAGGAAGGTTTCTAAATATTATATATGAGGAGCTCGGGTTCCAGCCCTTTAAGTTCTCAGTCTGGTAAGGGAGGTGAGTCACATACACAGTTATCACCAGGTAAAAAAATCACAACTCCCACAAGAAAGGTGCAGAGAGCTATGAGAAAATGGAGGAAGAGTGACCATTTCAACTAATGGGGTAGGAAAAAAAGTGAATGTGGGAATAAGGAGAGGAAAGTCTAGGAAGGATTCATGAAAAAGGTGGCAACAGGAGCTGGTCCTTAAAAGGCTCGGTAGACCAATTCAAAAACTAGTCCAGCTGGAGAAGAAAGAGGGGAGCAGAGGAAAATAAAACTAGAAAGATGAATTGAGGCAGATCATGCTACTGTTATTTTTCATTCAGGGGCAACAGAGTGCCACTGATAGGCTTTGGGGGTTTTTTGGGGTTTTTGGTCTATGTTTGGTTGGTTTTTGCCACGGACAGTTTTTAAGCAGAGGGATAAAACTATCAGGGCAGAATTATAAATATTCAACTAGTAATGATTTTAGGATAAAAAGTAGAAAGAAATGTGATTACACTGCAAAAGTGGCTACAAATTCTTCCTATGCATTGCAAAGTCTCACTCTGCAGTTCCTCTGATTAAGAGGCTCGGTCTATTTCGCCATCCTCAAATACAGGCTTCAGTAGTAGCAACAGGGATCCAAGCAGAGGCTTGGAAAACACCTGCATATACTGGTTTGCCTCCTCTTGCTGCCCCTGCACCTCTGAGACTACTGAGTGAATGAGCGGTATAACCTGCTAGGAGATAAAACACTACACACAGAAATGAGGCGCTCCAGCCACAGGCCGCCAAATGCCAGACACGTGAGTGAGGCTGTGTCAGACCAGCAGAGCAGCCCCAGAACTGCCCAGATGACTCTCAGAATTCTGAGCTAAATAAAATGGGCACTGTTTTAAGACACTAAGTTTTGAAGTAATTTACTATGCACCAAAAGCTAACTGACACAAAGGACCGGGAAATCAGTTAAGTGGTTATTGCAACTGTCCAGATGAGAGCAGTGGGTTCTGTCCTACAGTGGTAGCACATTAATGCTTAAAGGGAAGCATTAATCAAGAGAGACTGCCAAGGTGAATCAATGAGACCAGGCAACTGGCTGTGGCAGATGAGCGACACGGAGTCAAAGATGATGATGCTCATAGGAAGGTGCCTCTGAGAGGGTGGTGGTACCCTTAAGAGAAATATGAAAACTGGGTAAGAAGTAGATGCAAGAGGAATTCTACTTTGGATACATTAAGTTCAAAGTAAACAGATTTTTGTAGGCAATTAGTAATAAAGGTCAAGAACTTAAAACAGAGATTCAGACTTCAGAGAGAACTGGGGTCACCTACACACAGGTAACAGATGAAGTCATGAAGACTGTTACAGTAGATGAGGCCACTTGCAGTGCGGGGTGGGGGGGGTGAGACAGAATAGACCCATGGAGAACATTAAGGAGCAAAACAGAAAAAAGTTGTTAGAGATGCCCAAGAACCTTGGAGAGTAAAATGAAACACTCTAAGAAGAGGAAGGGGATAGAATTAATAAGCAAAAACAGTACAAAGAAACCTAAAAACAGAAAAACTAAAATTTAAAAAGGCACAATTCTCAGGGCGCCTGGCTGGTTCAGTGTGTGTACGACTCTGGATCTTGGGGTTTTGAGTTCGAGTCCCATGTTAGGTGTAGAGTGTGCTTAAAAATAAAATATTTAAAAAATGCACATTTCTCACAATGAATATATAGAGATAACTAATCTAAATAAAGGTCATCAACTTTAAAGTTCCTATCAATCCGGGTAAATTCCTACTTGGGCCTGTTAACTACCAGAGGCATAAACTCTAGTTACGAATATAAAATCATATTAGCTCCCTGGCTTAGTCACCCTTCTGAAATAAGAGTTCCCAATAAGGAATAACTTAGTAGAATATCTCATTTTCTAGCCTTCTAAGATTTTCTATAATGAAAATTAAGGTGGAAGGGAATAGTAATGATATGCTTTCCTCAGTCAGGTTTAGTAAGAGGACACTGTCTCCTTGGATATACTTTACTATTCCATCCACTGTTAGAGTAATTCCTTTACATAAGGATAGTTAACAGTTATTTATTAGGCAATTAGAACCCAAACTGACTTATAAATATAGGTAGCAACTACATTTTGTTTAAATTAAGTGTCAAATCAGGGTAGCACATATTTAAAATGAAGAAGGAAGGAATGCTAGACTTGGAAGATGGAAGGAAAATAGTGACAATACAGAGTACTGCTAACTTTCTATGATTTGCAGAATAAAGATTTGATTTCTATATTATCCTACTCTAAAACTTGAAAGGCCTTTGCCTTGTCCAAAAAAGAGGCTCCAACTCATTGGCAAGGCAGGTAAGTTATGCCTCATGCAGCCCTAACCTTCCTTCCAGCCTTGTCTACCAGTATGCTTCATAGCTCACTTTCCTTCTCCCTCCATCCTCAACCTCTCCTTTTCCACAGGCTTTTCCTTTTGACTCTGAAGACAGTACAGTGCATGTTGTTTGAATGATTCTGCATTACCCATAAATGACTTATTTTTGAAACACTACTAAATGTACTTCCAAAGGAACTATTTGGAAACTTTATCGGTTTATTTGAGGAAATTTCGAAAGAAGGTCTGTGGATCCTGAGTCAGTAAATCTAACTGCAATACAAATTGATAGAACTTCCCTTCCTTTTCTTCTCAAACTACCCCTCCCCACAACACAAAAACCCCTTCTCAGACATTAATAAATACAACCTCGGTTTATCTTCATTGGGATTTTGAATTATGGTACAATATCCACATATAAAATAGCTTCGCTTGCTAGCATTATTTGCAATAGCTTCACATTCTAAATCTTGTCTCCTAATATTCGTGAATCTTGAACAAATTCCTCATGAGAGGAACAGTGAAAAAAAGGCAGAGGGGTGCCTGGGTGCCTCAGTGGGTTAAGGACCTGCCTTCAGCTCAGGTCATGGTCTCAGAGTCCTGGGATCGAGCCCCACACTGGGCTCTGCTCAGCAGGGAGCCTGCTTCCCCCACTCTCTCTGCCTCTCTGCCTACTTGTGATCTCTCTCTCTGTCAAATCAATAAATAAAATCTTTAAAAAAAAAAAAAAAGAAAAAAGAAAGAAAGGCAGATATAATCACTGGCCTGCCAATGTGCCAAGGTGGGGGGTTTACTTCACACTGTTCTTATTATGTATACTTGGAAATCTTCAAGCTGGAAAGTCTTGTATCAGATGCTTCACTTCCAAATAGGGCATTGCTGTGACCTCAGATTTAAAGGATACTCTGATACAGTCACAGAAAGTATTTACCAAAAAGCTATCATCTCGCGATGCCTGCGTGGCTCAGTTGGTTAAGCCACTGCCTTCAGCTCAGGTCATGATCCTGGAGTTCTGGGATTGAGTCCCACATCAGGCTCCCAGCTCCTTGGGGAGTCTGCTTCTCCCTTCTCATGCTCTCTCTCCCTCTCTCAAATAAATAAATAAAATCTTAAAAAAAAAAAAAAGATATTGTTTCTTTAAAAATTTCAATGCGGACCCTGTGGTTTTTACTACTTTACCTTTGAGAATAACATATAGAAGAGTTATGAGAGACTGACACATAATCTGTTATGGTTTTAAGAGTTGCTCTGTCCCTATTATAGTGTCAGTAGTAAATTAGGTAGGATAATAGTGGAGAAAATGTACAATTGTCAAGCCACAGTGACAGAGAGTGACAAACTGTGGTATTGTGATTTTTAAAGAAAACATTGGGATCTTTCGCCAGAACAGTAGACACCAAATTTTATCTGCTGTTTACTAGGGTGGGAAGTCCAAATTAGTGAGAATAGTGGAAATATACTGGTTATTAAAATAAAGCTTACTCTTACTTGTTTAAATATTATCACCCTTATTCATTTTTAACCCAAAGATTTCAAAAATCTTAATCATGTGACCAAATATCTGAAGCTACTCATTAGATTAAAAAATAATATATTAGCTATTAAAATCTTAGTCATTTACACTGTTGTAGTTTTAAATTTTTCAAAGCACTTTTATATACATACCTCTTCTGAGCAGCTACCTGAGAACTGTATTAAAAAGGGAGAAAATAAAAATCTTAGAATTTCAAATAAGTCAAAGCCACTACAGTTCTTTTTGGGCAAGTTTAAAGATTAGCTTTGTTGGATGCTGTATATTCAGAAACCACTTAATTTACACAAAATGCAATGCTAACTATATTTATAAGTCAGTCTGGGTCCTAACTGCCTGACAAATAAATGTTAAGTATCCTTATGCAAAGAATTGTTCTTTAATGATGAGGGAACAGGAAAGTATATTACATATAGGGAGACAAGGTGATCTTCATATTGTTTCACTATAAAAACACTAGAAAGAGACTAAAGGTCCTCTATACTCACCCTCTTATGAAGTTAAATCCATGTGCACAGACCAAAAGGTTTCCATAGGCATCAACTTTCAAAAGATTTCCATATAGTGTGTCAAAAACAAGTCCCCTATGTGAAAAAGAAGATGTCATCAGTAATCCAAAAATAATACAGGCAACAATCTTATGTAGTGTTATTACTCAATCATTATAAACCAATGTCATCTTATTCAAGCTTTATGACAACTCAACCATGTCCACAAAACAATATATTCCCGGAGGCTGAAGTGAATAAATAAATTCTTATAAACTAAACCACGAGGAACTAAAAAATATTTACTCTGTCCAAATAATCACAAGTGTTTTCTGTAAGGAATAAGAGCTTAAACAAGGTTGAACTGTTCCTCTTAATACAGTGGTTCCATTCTAAAAGAGTCTTTTAATTGGCGTGGACAAATGAGCCGGCTCATATTTCCCTCTAATAGGTGCTGTATGTGGGACATACATGATGGGATCTCAAACACCATCTTTCTTAATCGTAAATCTTCCCTATCAAATCCAAAAACACAAACTGCCAAGAAGGCTCCTGATGACCAAGTGAAATATATTATAGTAAAGCACGTAACTGCTCTCCAAGAGCAAAAGGTAGGAGTATCTGTGATGACTGCCCATAAGTTTTAGTCATCTTTCTCGTTTCCCATAAATAGATCTTCAGTAACAATAAACTAAGCTTAATTCAAGAACACAAAAGATACGATGCACAAGAAAAGTCCATGGTAATTTTAGAATCAACATCAACCAAAAAAAAACACAACTAGAAACAAACCAAAGAATCTTTTTCGGTTCTTTTCTTTGAAGGTGGGCATGGTCAGAGATGCACTTGGAATTATTAATCTGAGGGATAGAAGGAAGGATTTTAATCCTTGAAAAATTACCTGGTAGGGAATGTAGAATCATAAGCAAAGCTGAGCAGTTCCTGAGGGTAGCCAATAGAAACTAATCTCTCCACAGTAAGCTCAAAGCCAAGGGACTCATACTCCGGGGACTTGTACACTGTACAAAGAAGAGGTTCTCATTATACAATAGTCAATGAAAACAAAGGGCAAATGAGTGAATTTCTACTCTTTCCCAGCTCCTCCCTCTTCCTAAATATGCCATTTTCTTCTCCCTCAAACTCCATGTTTTGTACTGCCCCAAAAAGCCACAGAACTCAACTGCTAGTCTGTGAAAACACATCATTATTTTCGGAGGAGTAAGAGCAACAAGATGAATTACCAGACATTTCAGAATAATTCTTTCATTTCTTAGGAAACTTAACGTTTTTCCCTTTATCTGTTCTTTCATGCCCACAATCTAAAGGAAGAAAAAGGAACTAATATGTGATACTAACCAGGTAGAGAGGTCTATATACTTTAAAAGTTTCACTGATGTGTACAATTGGTGTAGGAATTCTTCAAAAAAGCTTAAAAAAAACCCACAGTCTATTTTTGCAATCCCTATTTGGCTTGGTAGTTGCTTTAAACTCCTTCTCTAATCAGCATATAATTCTATTTATCAGGATTAACTTTTTTTCTTATCAGTGCTAACAATAATATAAAGCCATCAAAATTGAATTTTAAGTTATTGTTGCAATACCAACCATAAAACATGTCTGGGACAATTAGGAAAATCTGGATGTGGACTGGGAATTAGATATTAAAGAATTATGACTGGGCACAGAGGGAGGGAGAACTGGAGGAAGGTGATCAAAAGGTACAAACTTCCAGTTATAATAAGTAAGTACTAGGGGTGTAATGGACAACATGAGGACTTCAGCTAACACCACTCACTGTATGATATACAGGAATGTGGTTAAGAGAGTAAATCCTAAGAGTTCTCATCACAAGGAGAAAAAAAAATTTTTTCCCTTTATTCTTTCTTTTCATTTTATCTATATTATAAGATGGATGTTAGCTAAAGCTATTTCCCAATATATGTAAATCAAACCATCATGCTGTATGCCTTACTTTTTTTGTATGACTTATACAGTGATACATATCAATTATTTCTCAATAAAACTGGAAATACACATTAAAAAAGAATTAGGACTCATTTTATGAGATGTGATTATGGGAGGATGGGTATATGCGTGTGTGTGTGTGTGTGTGTGTGTGTGTGTGTGTATACATATATATATATATATATATATATATGTGCGTGTGTGTATATATATATATATATATGGTTATCTGCCAAAGAAGCCTACTGAGTTTGTTACAGGTGAAATAAAATGGATTTTTGAATATGGGGGTTTCTCTCTACTATTATAATCTCTAAAATCTCCTACAATGAGAAAACTTTTTAGAATCATCATTGCAGTTCAGCATAAAGGAAATGTTGCTCCTTTAAATAGGTCTCCTCCAAATGCAATATTTAGGTATCTTCCCATCAGTCTCTAGGAGTGAGCAAGCTGTATTAAAAAGAAAAATAAAAAGACCTTCAATCTTGCTAAATGCCAAATGAGGCAAAAAAAAAAAAAATCCATTCATTTTTATCTCACAATAATGCACTTATTGTTGTTATATTATTATTGTTCTTCCATCCACAAGTAATAAACACCCTGTGGCTCAAACTGATTTTTCACTGCAATTAGTCCGTTGACCCAAATTAGTACTAATATCTTAATGAGTACTATTCAACTTTTCCTTGCCAAAAGCAATCTTTTAGAATATTTCCGGAATACATAAATAGAAATACATAAAAGAAACCAGTAATACTGGTCACCTCCACAAAAGGGAACTGAGTAGCTAAGAGATAGGGAAGGAAGTACACTTTCGTTTACCTTCTGTACTTCTATAACTTGTAACATATTACTGTATATATCTGTATATATGTTATTATTAAAGTTGAAATGTTAAAAAAATAAACAGCAGGATGGGCTTTCAAAATCTTTTAATAAACATGTGTCATATTTAAAAAGCCTAAAGTTTTTAAGGCCCTTTAGGAGAAGGAGGACCCCTGAGTGTCACCTCCTCAGAACAATGTCAAAAACAGCTGTCATTTCTTTTATCATCTCAGGGGTAAAAATAATTTAATGCTAATGCTAATACTAATATTCTCAAAACTGGCTATTTATTTTCTCGGTTCAATTCCATCCCCATTATTACCCTCTCCCACAAAAACAAAACAAAACAACAACAACCAAAAAAAAAAAAAAAACAAAACCCTTTTGGAATCCATGAGTGTGGAATTCTTAAATCTAAATGATATATGCTGTGGTAAAGGAAGTGCTTGTATATTCATACATACTAAAAGAGTAAGAGCTGGTGTATTATAATAAAACTAGGAAAGTAGTACTGACTGATGTCAATCTGAGTTATCCTGAGAATATAAAATAATCTCTCTCACCCAACACTGTGCTTCCTCTCCAATTGAGAGTAAATCTCTTTTAACAAATTCCCATTAAACAAAAATTTTCTCAATCCTAACTAACAAAGCCCCACTTACTTCAAACAATATTTAATGAAACAAAATCCCAGTACCGTTAAGCAATTTCGCTAATCCACTGACATTCATTCTTATAGGATTTAGCCCATATAAAATGTTTTCAATTATTAATTTTTTCAGAAGAATAATTTGCTGTTTATACCTTAAAAATGGGAGTCAAAAACAAACAAACAAACCTTAATCAACCCCCCCACCCAAGCTCACCCCGAAATGAGCCATTTTCCCGGGTTAGAGATCAGGTCATTATAATGATGGAGTAATAGTGATTAAAAACCTGTGTTTAGGAGACACTCTGGATTGAAACCCAAATCTATTTTTTCAGAATTTTTAGTGAAGAAAAAAAAATAGGAGAGGGGTAGATATCTCAAATCCCATTTTGCCAGCACAAACCCTAAAACAGTGGAAAATGAAGCACTACACACTTGCCACATTTATCTTTATTCCAGGACAGAACTTCCCAAGCATTCAACTGAGGTGACTTTCTAGTCATTCTACCTATAGAAATAAATACTTTAAACTTCCTTTTACCCAATGAATTTAGGGTACTTTCCAGAAATACAATGTATTTTCCCCATTTGCTGACCTGAAGTTACATAGCAAGTACAAATGTAAACTTAAACCAAAATTTAGGTCTCCCTGAGTCTCACCCAAAACTCTGCGGAGGGATATACTCCCACTATTAAAAATCAATTTCTAGATTACATCGGCCATCAAAACTTATGCCTAGGTGTTGAAATACACTACCCTCCCTCCAATTTCTTTCACCTACTCCAAAATAAACTGCTCTAGTCACAGGTGGGGATGGATTTAGCAAAGAGAGTTCAGATTCCACTTTGACAACACTATCTATTTCACTAAGCTATTAATCAGTAAGACCTACAAGCTATTGACATTTTCTCATAGCTTCCCGGATAATCATTTCAGTAACACGAATTCCCAGGTCATTACATCATCCGCTAGTACAGTTCAACCAGGCTGGAGAAGCGCAACTGTAGCTGCACAGATCACAGGTTTAGATGTTTTGTTCTAAGTGTCCCCTGGGAATGAACTGAATAATCACACTTCGTTCTGACCTGGTAGCAAAAATGACTAGTCCCAAAGCCTAAAAAGTATCACCATTCCTTGAAAAATAAATAAATAAAAGTAAAATTCCTTTTTTAAAATTACCAAGCCCTTCAAAGTCAGCCTTGAAACCTCTGGGGAACCATATGCATCAGCTCTAACTGTAGAGCTCTACACCTCTCTACAGCTGCAAAGGCTCTAATTCCGATTTCTCTTGCAGAACTGGTGAGTAAATGATGCGTAACTTCAAGCTCAATTCTTACAACTGACTTCCCAAAACGCAACCAAAAGATTCAGAGTAAACATAACCTCACACATTCACTGCTTACTTCTTCAAGAAAGTCCTCAGGCCTAACCTAATTTACCCAATGTTCAAAGACAAAGGAAGAAGTTATTTCAAGGGCCAGAGTCCAAAAAAGAGGAGTGCTTCAGCTGTCAGAGCAGCACACGGTGTTCTCAGGTTACATAACTAGACTATAAAGAGAACAACCAAAGCTTTGAAAGCTGAAGCTACTGAGAGCATTTAAAGATATTCTTTCCTCCATAATCTGTAAGGAAAAAACAGTTCTCCAAAAAATATCAACTATGTGTTGTGGGGATGACAGTTACAGGCTCTGTTTTGAGAAATGTTGTTCACACAAGATAGAACCTAAGTTAGAGGAGACGGTCTCTGAAATGAGCCAAAATCATTCTGCAGGGAAGTTTAAAATTTTCATGCACTTGTTACCTTTGCCACCAAGACACACTGTGTATAGTAGTTTATAGATTTTAGAAAAAGGAAGGGCAAACCTCTACAGAGGTTCCAGCCTAGCAGAGTGCTGCTGCCAAAATGAGAACTCACATGAGGCAGATGCAGATGTAGAGTGTCACTCCAGTCTTGAAGGAGTTACACTGGCTCTCCTGTTAAAAAAAACAAAACAAAGCAACAAAACAAAACAAAAACAAAAACAAAAACAAAAACAAAAACTGGTTTTAAAACTGTTGCGATGGGCTGGAACAGAGAGACACCATTTGGATATTGGTATTTACAGGAGTTACTGCCCTCCTATTTAGAAGCCTCTGACCATCACTAAAATTAGTCTAAACGGCCGTAACAAAACAAGGCTATTGAAGATTAGCCTAAGTATTGTGCATTATTTAAATTTTCTGACACTCAGCCTGGAATACAAGCCAAGTCTAATCCTGAACTCTTAAGTTAAAAGATAAACAGAAAAATAAATTCATCTTTTTTTAGTGTATTTTCTCTAGCACATTTCAGGTTTATATGAGAGAAACTGAATGCAGCTGGTAAACAATATTTAAAATTGAACTACAGTAAGGGAACAGGCTAAATACAGATACGAGAATAAACCAGAGCAGTCTAAATCTTGCTGTTAAGCACCCATTTAAAGTAAGTCTACTTGTACCTAACTACCTACTTTTCTACCCTTCCAACACCTAAATTTGTCATCTTGATACAGACAAGAACCAACTTCACACTGCTAAAAATCTAACCAGATGTCTAA